ACCATTATCCCCAGTTATCTTTCTATTCTTGAATAAATGAGAGTAGAGCTACCCCAGTTAATCAGTAAAACTGATTTTCTTTCTGCCTTTTGACAGTGTACATGAAGATGTCAAACTCACATTCTGAAGAGGAGAGGGAAGATCTCTGTTCCAAATATTTGTTTGTTTTTGTGATCTGAAAATTTAGCCCAGGAGTGCTGTACCACTGAACTACATTTCCAGCTCTTTTTTGTTGTTGTTATTGTTGTTTTTAATATTTTTTTTTGTGCTGATGGACCTTTATTTTATTCTTTTATTTATATGCAGTGCTGAGAATTGAACCCAGTGCCTCACACATGTGAGGCAAGCACTCTACCACTGAGCCACAACCCTCCAGCTCTTTTTTATGTTTGAGACAGGTTCTCACTAAATTACTGAGGCTGGCCTCAAACTTGAGATCCTTTGCCTCAGTTTCTCTAGTATCTGGGATCATAGGTATGTGCCACCACATCTGACTGATCTTGGAATTATGATTCAAAATGACATTAAATAATTATCAGTTTTGATACTAGATTATACCCTAAATTTTACTCAGGTAACGTAAGGCAGTAATTCTGTGGTCCCACATAGCAATGCCTGAAGTTTATACACTAGTTATTGTAAATTAAATTTAGTTGATCTCATTTTTCATTTTTACATCTTCATTGTCTTACATTTTGGGTGTAAATAATGATTACTTAAGTGGCCAATAAAAAACTGGGATTAACAAGTGTATAGCCAGCCCAATTTTTTTTTTTTTTTTTTTTTTTTTTTTTTGTACCAGGGATTGAACCCAAAGACACTCAACCACTGAGCCACATCTCCAACCCTTTTTATTTTGAGACAAGGGTCTCACTAAGCTGCTTAGGGCCTCACTAAATTGCTGAGTCTGGCCTTATACTTGTGATTCTCCTGCCTCAGCCTCCAGAATTGCTGGGATTACAGGCATCAGTCACTACCCCCTTTCCTAAAATTATGTTGTAGCCTTGAAGATTTTTCTCCATCATTGCCTCTCATGTATGAGAGTCAGTTGAAATCAGTGTATAATTACTTCTTGAAAGATTAATGGTTCTGGCTTTTCTTTATTCTTCTTAGTCTCTTTCTCTATTACATGCCTATCAATACTCAGATCCTACTAGTTGCTTTTTTTTTAATATTTATTTTTTAGTTTTTGGCGGACACAATATCTTTGTCTGTATGTGGTACTGAGGATCGAACCCGGGCCGCATGCATGCCAGGCAAGCATGCTACCCCTTGAGCCACATCCCCAGCCCCTACTAGTTGCTTTTAAATATCTGGAGTTGAATTGAAAACATGTATCATTAAAACATAAAGGACTTGAACTGTTGGAAAATTCCAGAGGTTTTCTCTTTAAGTACTTTGTCTTTTTTCAGGCTTTTGTTTGTCTTGTTGTTTACCTCCCTATTCAGCAGAGCCCCAGGAGGCATGGTGACAGTCTTTTCAGAGACTGGGAATTGGCCTAATTTGTGTTGTTATTATAGTTATTAAGGTGTGTGTTTGGGGGAGAGAGAGGTGAATTATAGATAGAGTGGTGGTCATGCAGTAAATTATCCCAGAACCAGGTATTTAACCTTAAGGTATTTAATAACCTTAACTTTTTCATATTACTATTCCTTCTTTTCCATCTTGGCATCAATCTCTTGACAGTCTGCTTTTGTATCCTAGGCATATGAGAAAGATAGCAAAATAAATGCTTTTCTGTTTTCTATTTTCTTCTGAAGAGTAATAAATAAGACTATGTTTTTTGCAATTAGTAGTAGAATATGAAGTCCTGTAAAGCAGACTAGGTTATTAAATGTATATCACATAGTTGCTTATGGTGCACTATGGCTTAATATATATTATAGATATGACTAAATGGTAATTAGCAGAGCTGGATCTGTAATTAAATGAAACATTGTTGAACTTCTTTTATGATCTCTTTTTAGATTTCTATTACAAAGTAAAAGGAAACCCATAGTTTCACACCCATAGGTGGATGTCTTCATTTTTCGTACCCCAAAATATATTTTTAATTAGGTAAATAATGAGGTAAAGTTATTTTCATATAAAGATCTCTAACTCTACTTTCTCTGATCTAAAGGGTAGTCTTGGTGTACAAATGTTAATAAGTTTCTCATATGGTTCAGGTTTTTTAGTGATCTATTCAGCCAATGTCTTTTTAAATATTCTATAACAAAGTTTACATCCCAGTCCATAATATTTTATTAATGTAACTATTTCATGTGTTTGATTACATTCTACTTTCCAGACATACTGTTTGAAAGTAATTGGGGTTTCCAACTTACGTCTTAGATGTTGTTTTCTGGATTTCTCAAGGGCAGAATTGGGGGCTTGACTTTATCTAGAACATAATAGCATATCTTCCTCTTGATCTCCCAGGAGGGAGATATGCTATTATGTCTAAGAGCCATGAATAACCTAGCTGAAGTGCCTGAGAGAAAGAAAGGAGCTAAGAAAAATCTGGACTGACTTCAAGGTGTTTGGCACTATATGTCAGATAATAAATACAAAAAAAAAAAAAAAACAGCAGCAGCACAAGGACAACAACAAATTGTTTGTGAGACAGAACCAGAAAACAAGCTCGGCAATGGACTTTTTTTTTTTTGTATTGTTTTTAATGGTGTGAGGGATTGAACCAGGGCCTCATACATGCTAGGCAAGTGCTTTACCACAGAGTTATACCCCCAGCTCCTCTATTTTTTATTAATAATTTAACTGTGCTTAGCTAAAAGTATTTATTTTAAGTTGTGTTTTTCAATTTTTCATTTGTGGTGACTTTCTAAGCTAGCAAGTCGGGGCCAGTTGTAAAGAAAGCAATATTCGTACCTCCACTTCTAAACTAGTTTTCAAAGCTAGAAAGGTGTGTGTTTGGAGGAGAGGGAGTGGTGGTCATGCAGTAAATTATCCCAGAATCAGAGTTCCATTGCAAAGCTGTCTAGCAGCTTGGACTGTGAATGCATCTGTAGTTCCCTGAATTTTCTATTCAAAGACTACAATTAATCTGACTAAAAAATGTAGTTTTGGTTTTCATTTGGTACTGGAGATTGAACCAGGGGCACTCTCACACTGAGCTACATACCCAATCCTTTTTTTTTTTTTAAGAGAGAGAATTTTTTTAATATTTATTTTTTAGTTCTTGGCGGACACAACATCTTTGTATGTGGTGCTGAGGATCGAACCCGGGCCGCACGCATGCCAGGCGAGCGCGCTACCGCTTGAGCCACGTCCCCAGCCCCAATCCTTTTTAATTTTCATTTTGAGTTGGAGTCTTTCTAAAAATTACTGAGGCCGGCCTTGAGTTTGTAATCCTCCTGCTTTAGCCTCCCAAAAAGCTAGAATTACAGGCTTGCGTCACCACTTCCAGTTCAGAAGTCTTTGATAAAAATCCCAAGAATCTCACTCCTTGACCCATTTTCTATGTCTGATGAAAGAGTTAAGGGATCATCACCTGCTCCATTACAACTTTTATGTTCTCTCTAGAAGTGTTTTATTCTTCTTGGAACCTAGTAATTATGTTTTTGTGAGAAGTTATAGTTTTAGAGGTAGATTGCTGGTGTTTAACATTTTTGTTTAGGTATGTATAATCAGACTGCTTTGGATTGCTGTGGATTGGCTTCAGGATTTGTATTAGTACCTCCTATTTCAGAGAAAGAGAGATTGGTGGGGGAAGCAGGGGGACAGTTCTGGGGACTGAGTGCCTGAACACTGACCCAACCCTTTTTGTATTGGATCTTGGTCTCACTGAATTGCTTAGGGCCTCACTCAGTTGCCCTAGCTGGCCTCAAACTTGCAATTCTCCCACCTCAGCTTCCTGAATTAATGGAATTATAGGTCTGTGCTACTATGCCCAGCCTCACAAATAGATTTGATGTTAGAGTCCTACTCCAAAATGCCATTCTCATTAACCAACCACCACAATCAGATTAATCCCAACTCTCCTATATCTTTTAAGTAAATTTCCTTCTAGCTAGTCGTACTAAAGCTCCAGAATCATTAGGAATTATAGCTTTCCTAAATCTGGATATTTCTTCTTCTCTTTATCCCCATCTGTATTCATGGCTTTTATACCTAACTAATATAATGACTGTTGAATGTTAGATTGGGTGAATGATAGATTGGTAGGAAGCATAGTGGTAGCAGAATATGCCTGAAAAGCTGGGTCTTTCACATCAGTCTTATTTGTTCTGCTATTGAAATTTGGCACTAATTCTTTTCCACTGGAGACTTTTAAATGAAATAGGAAAAATACAACATACAAAAGACCACTTTTAGCCAAGCACAGTTCATGAGAAAGGTCTTTCATAAGAAATAGAGGAGCAGGAGGTATAACTTAGTGGTAGAGCATGTGCCTAGCATGTGTGAGGCCCTGGGTTTGATCTAAGTACTACAGAAATAAAGAAAAGGAGGGCTGGGGATAGAGTTGTAGAGTGCTTGCCTCACATGCACAGGACCCTGGGTTTAATCCCCAGCACCATTAAATAAATAGATAGATAGATAGATAGATACACATGCACAGGACCCTGGGTTTAATCCCCAGCACCATTAAATAAATAAATAGATAAATAGATAGATAGATAGATAGATAGATAGATAGATAGATAGAAAGAAAGAAAGAAAAGGAAATAGAAAAAAAAAAGAAAGAGATTATGAAAGAAGAGTGGAGGGGGGAAGAAAAAAATAGAGCTTCTCCTAGGACTGGGTATGGTTTGTGTGTATGTGTGTGTGTGTGTGTGTGTGTGTGTGTGTGTGTGTGTATGAGTTTGTTTGTTGGTGTTCTCATCTAAACCACAAATTTGTAATGGAATCATGACCTAGAACTTGAAAGGAAGGACCACAGTCTAATATTTAGAGCCTCTGTACTCTGACAGCAAAGCATGTGGGACTAGATTAAATACTGAAAGGTACTTATCCTAAATAATCTTGCTACAACTCAGTTACTGCTTTGTCTTCCCCCACAGATGGAGTCCCCTGTCTCCACACCAGCAGTGCTGCCTCTGCACCTTTTGGTGCCAGTGGTCAATAATGACATCTCATCTCCCTGTGAGCAGATTATGGTTCGGACAAGATCAGTTGGTGTCAACACATGTGATGTGGCTTTAGCCACAGAGCCTGAGTGCTTGGGCCCTTGTGAACCTGGAACCAGTGTCAACCTCGAAGGCATCGTGTGGCAGGAAACAGAAGATGGTAAGTGCTGTATATGGCTTTCTCACCCCTTCTCAACCTGCTTCTACCAAGCAGCCAATAAGGGCTTATTGCTGTAAATATTGCCAGGTATTTATAAGGAGTCTCCTGTGTCAACAGGTCTGCTAGCAATACCCATAGGATGGCAGCAAACCAAACAGAATAGCAGAATCTCATTTATAGAGATTCCCAGTGCCAGTATTTGTTTGTTTTTGCAGTGCTGGGAATCACAAGTAAGTAACCACTCTACTGCCAAGCTGTATCCTGAGCCCCCAGTGCCAGTTTGTTAAATTAATTATCTCCCATTATAACTCTTCAGCAGTGTTGGCCCTTGTATTTAGGCAGTCATTTAATAGGTGCTGGCATTGTGATTCAGATTGTTTCCACACTCTCCAAACCCCCAGTGCTGGGGATTGAACCCAGAGCCTTGTGCAAGCAAAGCAAGCACTCTACCAACTGAGCTATATCCCCAGCCCCGCTCCCTCTATCATTTATATGGGAGATTTAGGTAATAGATGAAATTTGGGTTCAGGCTTTAAGAAAAAAGTAATAAAATGGCAGCTGAGAGAGTCAAGAGAATGGAGAACACTCACTCTAAATTGAATTAATCTTGGCTCATTGAAGACGCAGCTTGTGCATTTCCTTTTTTTTTTTTTTTTTTGGTATTGGGAATTGAACCCAGGGATACTTGATCACTGAGCTACAACCCCAAGTCTTTTATTTTTTATTTTGAGACAGGGTCTTGCTAAGTTGCTGAGGGCCTTGAGTTTGTGATTTTTACACATCAGCTTCCCAAGTGGCCGAGATTACAGCTGTATACCACCATATCCTGCTCAGCTCTTGCCTTTTTTTAACATTTAGTGTAGTCACCTCCTTCCTCCCATTGGTTGCCTCATTGCCCAGCCACCTGTACCACTTCATGCATCTGTCAACTTAATACAGATTTTTATGGGCTGAGTCAACAGGGAAATGTTTACATAGACTTATTTTCAGACATCCACCAAGTCTTTGGCTTGCTGTAAGTTGCTGTTGTCCAAACCTTCCATCCAGACAGACTTCTTAAGTTTCATTTGCCCTGAGAACAGAGTTTCTGTTTTGGAAATTCATAAGCCTAAAAAAATGAGGGCTGGGTTGTGGCTCAGTGGTAGAGCTTCACCTATCACATTCGAGTCCCTGGGTTCAATCCTCAGCACCACATATAAATAAATAAATTAAATAAAGGCATTGTGTCAACTACAACTAAAAAATAAAAAAATAAAATGAAATAGGAATGCAAAGGTACCTTAGCAGGTAATAGGTAATCAAGATCCCTTGATAACAATGAGTTTGTGTGATCCAGCTCATTCTCCTGGATTTTTTGTTGTTGTTGTTGTTGTTGCTTGTTTGTTTGTTTGATTTTGCAGTGCTTGGAATTGAACCCAGGGTCTTGTGTGCATGCTAGGCAAGCACTCTACCGCTGAACCACATCCCCAGCCCTTTTTATTATTTATTTTGAGACAATAAGCAAGCTGAATTGCTTAGGGCCTTACTAAGTTGCTGAAGCTAGTTTTGAACTTATGATCCTCCCTGCCTCAGCTTCCCAAGCCACTGGAATTACAGGCATACACCACCGTGCCCAATGCTCCAGCACATTCTTTTAATAAAGAATCGAAGTCCTTGTCAAAGTATATAAAGTATATATGGTAGAAAGGCTGGGTCTCAGAGTGCCATCATGTCTCTACATTAGTAACAAGACTTTTTTTTTTTTTTTTTTTTTTTGGTGGGGGTGGTGGTGGTGGTGGTATTAGGGAGATTTAATTCAGGGCACTCTACCTCTGAGCTACATGCCTAGCCTAGCTCTTATTATTTTGAGAGGACCTTGATAAGTTGCCAAGACTAGCCTTAAACTTGTGGTCCTTCTGCCTCAGCCTCCTGAGTTGCTGAGATTACAAACATGTGCTACCATGCTTGGCCACCTGTTAGATACTCTTAATGTTTTCTAGACTTTATTTCACAGTATTTATTCACAGTTTGCAGTTTTGTTTATAATCATGTAATTCTTCCCACTCCCTACCCCACCCCAACCCACAGAATCAAATCCAGGGTCTGGCACACACTGGCCAAGCATTCTACCACTGACCTAAAGCCCCAACCCTAATTTTTCTATTAATGTCTGTCTCTTCCCCTATGTTAGAAATTCTGAGATTGGGGATTTTTTTGTGCTCACCATTGGTCCCCCAAAACTTAACACCTGGCTGGACATGGTGGTGCACACTTGTAATCATAGTAGCTAGGGATGCTGAGCAGGAGAATTGAGAGTTCAAAGCCACCCTTAGCAGCTTAGTGAGGTGCTAAGCATCTCAGTGAGACTCTGTCTCTAAATAAAGTACAAAATAGGGCTGGGAATGTGACTCATGGTAAAGCACTCCTGGGTTCAATCCCTGGTACAAAAAAAAAAAAAAACTTAACACCTGCCACTTGTAGTGGGCTATCAGAAATAAATTTGTTTGAGCTAGGCATGGTGGTATATGCCTATAATTTCAGTGACTCTAGAGGATGAGACAGGAGGATTACAAGTTTGAGGCCTGCCTCAGCAACTTAGAAAGGTCCTCAACTATAAGATTTTCTGTTCTATTAATATCAGATTTCTCCCACTTAACATATCGTATTTCAAAACTTACCTTCACTTTTTTTTTTTCCTTTTTATTCTGTGGGAAGATCTTTTATATAGTGATATGCTCTACTTTTTTTTTCCTTCTTCTTTTTGGACACCTCAAAGGCTCTTCACCTGAATTGTCAGTTGATGAAGGTCTGATTGCACTCTACCAACTGAGCTATATCCCCAGTCCCCATTACATCTTAAAGTAACAGATTTCCTACAATAATCATTCTCTGAAGATCTATAAGATGGGGGGGGGGGGCTGGAGTTGTGGCTCATTGGCAGAGTGCTTGCCTAGCATGTGTGAGACACTGGGTTTGATTCTCAGCACCACATATAAATAAATTAAATAAAAGGTCCATTGACAACTAAAAAAATTTTAAAAAGATCTATAAGATCTAGGCAGGGGTCGGGGGTGATGGGCTATAATCACAGCTACTCTGGAGAATAAGGCAGGAGAAGGATTGCAAGTTCAGAGCCAGCCTGGGCAATTTAGTGAGATGCCATTTCAAAATGAAAAGGATTGGGGATACAGCTCAGTGATAAAGTGCTTGCCTAGCATGCACAAGAGCTAGGTTCAATTACCAGTACCAGGAATGGAAGGGGGGACAAAAAAAAGTAAGATCTAGAGTACTAGGTCATTCCTCAAGTTGATCATAAGAACTACATACAAATACTTAAAAAAAAAAAAATTCTAGGCTTCTAGGTTTTGTGTTTGCACCTGACTTTTTGCACTTCTATCTCTGCCCAGCAAACTATTATTTTCAAAGGGAACAACTTTCCAGCTTAGAAAGAAGCTATGAATGCTTGGCCTCTTGGGGAAAATGGAGGATGCTAAGAGGTTCCTGTAGAAATTAGTTCCTGCAGGGCTGGGACTGGGGCTCAGCGGCAGAGCACTTGCCTAGTACATGCAAGGCCCTGGGTTTGATCCTCAGCACCACATAAAAATAAAGGTGTTATGTCCAACTACAACTAAAAAATAAATATTTAAAAAAGAAAAGAAAGGAAATGAGTTCCTGTAGGTTGCTGAGAACAAGTGTAGTGGTCATAGCAGCAGTAATTCCTGGTTTTTGGTTTTTTTGGGGGGAGCTGGAAGGGGGTTGCTTTGTTTTGTTTTGCCTCCCTGCCCTACCAGTGTTGCTCTGTTTTTCCTTTACTCTCCCTATCTCTCATTTTGAATTTTGCCTTGAAGGCGTTTTTTTATTTAATTTTTTGTAGTTGTAGATGGACAGAATGCCTTTATTTTATTTGTTTATTATTACATGGTGCTGAGGATTGAACCCAGTGCCTCACGCATGCTAGGCAAGCGCTCTGCTGCTGAGCTACAGCCCCAGCCCGCCTTGAAAGCATTTTGAAATTCCTGCAGATTCCATCTCTTTTTAGGCTGTTCATAATTCAGTCAACTCTGCAAAGATCTATCCATGACCAGGTTCAATTTTGGGATTGTTAAGAACACCTAAGGGACTATGCACAGTGGCGCAACTGGGAAGGCTGAGGCAAGAGACTTTGAAGTTTGAGACCAGCCTTAGCAACTTAGTGAGGCCCTAAGAAAATTAGTGAGACCCTCTCTCAAAATAAAAATAAAAAGGGCTGGAGATGTAACTCAGTGGTAAAGTGTCCCTGGGTTCAATCCCCAATACCCCAATCTCAGCCTCTCTAGAAAAACACACCTAAGTGTAACCCAGAATATTTCCCTTGGATTTTTGTTTTGTTTTGATTTTTTTGTTTTCATTGAGATTGATTTTTACCACTGTGCAAGGGTCTGATTCCAGCTGATTTCACTTTGGCCTACCTCACTTCAAATCAAAATATCAAGTACCAAGTCTATTCCAGGTTTACAAGGCCTAATCTTTTTTTTTTTTTTTTTTTTTTTTTTGTGTGTGTGTGTGTGTGT